TTATATTAATCGTGAATTTGCAGCCAATTACCAGATTTTTTTCATTATTTTTTCCTTCTTCCTCATGATCACTATTGTAATGATAAGAAAGGATATTTATCCTATTTTTTTTCCTTTCTACTCATTAACCTTTTATTAAATTATTTACATTTTTATATATTCTAAAATTGTAATAAAATGTTGATGTAATATATTTAATTTTTTCACTTGTAAAATATTTTTTGAATCAATTAATTCAATTTTTTAGAATATATATTGAATTTTAAAATAATTTTTATATGCTTTCTTATTATTATAATAATGAAAATTAATAATTAAATTAAGCAAAATAAGCCATATTTTGTTTGTTAAAGTATGACATTTTCCACTTTTGCTCGATTTAAATGTAGACTATTATTTTTAGTTTTAAAATGTAATTAGTGATAATTAAATTGTAATAAAAGTTGATTTAATATATTTAATTTTTCACTTATAAAATAATTTAAAATAAAGTAAAGTAGATTAATAAAATTAATCATAATTTATTTTATTACTATACAGCATCTTTTATACGTTTTATATTATTAAATTTTAAAAAAATTCTTATTAAATAAATTAAATTGGAGACATTTTAAAAAATATCTTGAATTTTCTCCAAAAATTTTTAAGCAAAATTTGTGCAAAATGCCATACTTTTCCTTGTGAGAGCGTGAAGTTTTGTACGAATTAAATGTATTAATTTCATTTAAAAATGTAAATAATGATGATAAAATAATTTAAATAACAATAATTAAGCTATGATGAATATTCTAAGGTTAAGTAAAGTATTTTATAAAGTGCAAAAGTGAATCGATTCGGTTGTAAGTTTAGACAAGTACTAATGAAGCGCGGAACGAAGTGATTGAAAGTTTTGGAACTAGTAGAAAGTCGTGTAGCTCTAATGGTAGGATATGGAGTCAAACGACACACTAGACATCAAGTCAGTGAAGTTGATACAGTTCTCTAAGCTAGTTTGTGTTTTTCACCAAGCTGTGACTAAATTGAAGAGAAAAGCACCAATTGGACTTTGATGAAATCAGCTATCAGATAAATAAACTTTACTTTTCTTCACTCTTCTATTAACTTTAAACATTGTCCTTCAATGATTAAAATCGTTACATTAATTATATACCTAAATTTCTTTAATTTTATACTAAATCTGCTTAAAAATTTCACATAATATTCATTATTTATTCAGGGTACAAACACAATTGGTTGTGTTGGTTGCTTTTTAATGAGTAAAATTATTTTTCTTGCACTTTAAATTTATTTTAATAGTTAATTAATATATTTAAATTTAATTAGTTAAAATTTAATTAAATTTTATTTTGTAATTCGATATTTTATTTTTAATGAAAAATGCAAAGTGATTGGAATGTAGAGTTTGTATGCTAGGTTAAGCATGATAATAAGATGTCGCTTTAATCTCTTTGATTGTTTATTACATTTATTATAACGATATAAAACCTTCAAATTAATTTTTTAAAAATTCAGTTATGGAGTTTTAACATTAAGCATTTTAATGTTTTACACAATATTTAATGTATAAAACAAACAGTTTTAACATTAAAATTGTTTTTAGAATTATAAATTGAAAAATTAATAAAGCATATTGAATAGTTTCTTGAAAGAAACTTTATATTCAAAGTTAAAAAATTTTAACATATAATTACAGTTATATTTATTAAAAATTACATAAAATTTTAAATAACCAAAGCTACATTAATTTA